ACGCAGTTAGCTGATTTGTCAATATAATCACAGACGCTCAAACTACGTCCAAGCCCCTATTTTATTTAATACTGTTACAAGCAGTGTCGTGTGTTTGTGCCATTTGTGTGTCATGAAGGGTTTGCGACAGAGAAAGGATTGTGTCGCTCAGGTTCTGTCTGTTTGGAAGCACCCAGAAGTTGCCTGACATCCTCTGAGATCAAATCCTCTTTCAGTCTGTCCATTATTTAGTTGTGCAGGCTGTAATTTTGGTCGACTCTGACAGCGTGATCCTCCTCAGTTGTGTTTTTTGAGATTTCTTTTATAGTTTTCTCCTGTTCAAGGTTTTTGGGTTGAGTTGTTGTTCATCCAACTGCAGGCTCTAAGCATAGAGAGTGCTCTGCGCTACAGATTGTAGCGTTAATTGTTAATTGTCATTCTGAGTAATATAAAACTGACTTGATTGCATCAGTGAAATGTTCCTGTTGTTGCGAAAATATCTCCCGGCAGTGACCACAGCATTATTTAGCTTTATTCAGTTTTATAAAGTGCTTAATAAATGATCAGGGTTTTGGTTTAGTTAAAAAAACAAAAGGTCTGTGTTGATTTGAAGCAAATCTTTTATAATTTATTTAATCAAAACCTCAGTCTTTTAGTTGCCTCAAGCTAATCGGAGACAGAATACAAACTCTGGTCTCCACATGAATCATCTCTTAGCAAAAACAAAGCTAGCATTTCCAAAAACATCTTAATATTCCCCAAAAGTGCCACATTTCATGTAAATATGAAATTAAACACAGAGGTAACAATTACATGAGCACTTGAAGGAACAAAGAATCAGAAATGAAAGCACATGGGAGAGTTCAGTCTCCGGTGTTGTGCTTAAAGATGCTTAAATGTCAGCGAGTGGGTTTTTTCTTTAGTTAAACATTAATTAAAAATTGATGAAGTAACAGATTTAAAAAAATAAAACACATTTTAAAAAGTGATTTAAGCCTGTAGGTGTGTACCAAAAATCTAATTCGCATTCAGACTTTTAATGAACGCCAGCATTACTTCAGCGGTGAACAGGTAAGCCGACCTGTTACTATTCTAAAAATATCCTCGGGGTATTTCTTCTCCTTTCCCTCCACTGAGCCTTTGTCTCCTTTAGTAGCTTTGAGCCCCTCGGTGCTCTCGGTCTAGAATAATGATCTTTATTCATTGCATTCTCAATTGATTCACTAATCAGTGAGCTGAGGATGCTTCAAAGTTTCGATTGGCTTTTTTTTTCCCTCCTCCCCAGCATGTTAATTTACCTCAGGTCATCACAGCTGAGCCGGATAGAAGTGCCAAACAAAACCAAGCAGGAGATAAGATGTGTGAGTAAAAATAAAAAGTATTTATCACATGAACTTAATCTTTTTATTTATTTGTTAATATTCATATTTACGCTTGTTCCCCAGGCAGCAGGGGGTGATATTATATTTTAAAGAAAACATTTTACTCCAATGCTCAAAGACTGTTTTAAGGATATTTATCATTTCAAATAATGTTCCCATGAGGTTAAAATTTAAATATGACGCATTCTTGACATGATAAGAAAGGAAGAACAGTGTCTAAGCAACAGTCAAGAAATGTTTCCAAGATCTTATCGAGGCCCCAGATGACAGAACTGCAATGTGATATTTTAACAAAGCTTTATTTCGGGGATGTTGTTGAGTTAATAGTCATAGAATATTCTTCTGTAAAACATTCACACAGAGGATTCCCAATGCAACACTCAGAATATGTACTAAGCTTTGCAGGGCGTATTGTTCTAACAATGTTATCAAACAGTTTTTAGAAACTCTTTAGCTCGATAGAAGATAATTCAACAAACGTCTGGCTGAGAACATTACTACTTTCTCAGAACATTCCAAGAACAAACTAAAAGTTTCTAGCTGGGTTCCCATGAGATGTCAAACAGTGTTCTTACTGTATCTTGTTGCGTATTTGGTGATTGTGGAATGCAGCATTTATGGCCTTTTCTACTAATGATGACAACAATTTTAGTTTTAGGTGGTAAATTTGTTTAATCTCTTGTGCGATGGCATTTTTTCCTCTTCGAAGTACAAGCCTGGTTTTGTGTGGTCACATCCAATGAGCCCTTGAGCAAGGCAGTGCTGCGGTGAAACTGCTCCGTCATAATGATCATAATGCTGACGATGGGCGCGAATGAGCCGAAGCTGTGAAAATGATTGTGGAGAGGAATGATGCAGGAATGCATGAGTCTAAGGCTGTGTAAACGTCTTACGTCCTTGACAAAATGCGAGAATGTCACCTTACATCTTCCACCATCGAAAATCCAGGAGAGGATTACCATCAATACCACATGAAGAGGGCAATCAGTCGCGGCTGACTCACCTTTCTCTCACTGAAACATCATCAGCGATGCGGCTCACGAGACTGTCGTCATCCATCCAGCGGCATTGTAGATGCACATAATCAAAGAGCCAAACAAGGTGATTCCTCTCCACAGGCCCTCCTCCGTCTATGACCTTTGATTTCCATTCCTCAATAACTACGTGTTAACTATGGCGGAGGTAAAATGCCACCTGCAATCTGAATGGCTTTAAACGTAATGGGTCGATCCATCGAATGAAGAGTTGTAATTTTCTCCACTGACAGCACGACATGAGTGTAGAAAAGTGCTTAAAGTAACTCCTCTTCATAAAACAGCAGTCCATAAGCAAAGGTCTGATGGTACTGCCTGCACTCAGTGCAACATAATGAGACAGTCAGTTTAGTTTAAACCGAAAGCAAATTAGCCCTTTAAGGCGAGCAACGTGAAGACAGTTCATTATACTAGATACACTGTTGTTTTTCCCATGACACAAACCAGTGTGCGGGCGATGACAGGAAAGAGGATGAAGCTAAATAGTTTTAAGTCCTCAGTAATGCTCTGCAACTCTCAGGGAAATTACATTTCCACAAGAGCTTATCAGTGCTTTACTTGAATAAATCAAAACAACATTTAAATGTGGTATCACACAAGCAGGATGTCGGAGGGTGTGTGCAAGTTTTGGTCTACATTAATTTAATCAGTTTGTCTCTCAACAGAGATGACAGGAATGGATTTGGTTGAAAAATGTTTAAAATGGACACATTCACCCCCACAAATATTATATTGGTAAATCTATAGCACTTGTATGATAATCAGATATAGGCTAGTTGTATTTATCTGTGTGGATTTATTAATATGTCTGTGGGGAGGGTAGTTTTTGATTGCACTCTGTGGGACAGATTTTTGTGTCTTTCTATGTAAATATTTGGGACCAACCGTAGATATATGTAGTTATTATGATCACCTGGATTTGGGACATTAGAGAAACCTTGTTGTTACTGAGCTCACTCTCTCTGCTGGAATTCATCCTCTTCATTTGGTGAGGAAAAGTAAAAGGGAAGGACAGTTTATAAGTCAGTATGTTGAGGCTTAAACAACCATAACTGCAAGTATGATCTGCACTGTATCTATATATGATGGTGTGAAGTGTCACAGCAGCAGCAGCAGGCCTGTGCTACAGGATGTCTGGATGCTGAGCTGTGATCTGTGTTTTAGTGCCCTCTTGTGATTATTCCCTAAACATGAACGCTGCCACACGACTGCACAAAGTCTACTCTGCATCGCCCTTTTTGCATGTTTTAGCTGTTTGACATCCACTTTGCTCTCTTTTTCTCCCAGTAGCACCAGGAGGAGTTACAAATCGTTCTCCAGACTTCTATTTGAATTGAGTTATTATAGTTGAATTATATTTGTAGACAGAATACTAACTCAGCATTGTGCTCTAGCTGTTTGCTGAAACTGAGGTTTACACTGATTTAAATATTCAAACCCAAGACTAATAGTTTTTTCCAGTGTTTACAGTGTCCTCTGTTAAATCAAATGGAAATGATTTAGTTGGTGTGTACCATTGTAGACATGAGAACTGAGCAGTAAAATTTAAAAATTAATATGTTCTTATAGTCAGTTTATCTGTTGTTGATTTTTCAGTCAATTAATTGTTGGGCTGTTTAAAAAAAATATCAAAATGAGTCTGACAGTCAGGTTGTAACATTTGAGAACAAGAGCAGATAATACTTGGCATTTTATTTGAATTTAATTAACTGATTAACTGCTTATGGATGATGAGCTTCTTTACTACAGTCTCTTTTCTGTTAGAATGGAAGATGAAGTTGTGTTTGTTTTAACAAGCTGTATTATGATTTTGTACTAACTTACACCGAGTTTCCCTCGAACTACAGAACTTTCTGCACAAGCTAGTACCGTTAAGAGTTGTAAAATCACACATTTAACTAATATGCTTTTGATCTGAGTGCTGTTGATTTTTTTCTTAGACTTTCTTAATTCTAATGTTGCAAATTGAACAATTTTTAGTGCATTTTCCACTTAATAATTAGATGGGAAAATAATAAGACAGGAGATGTTTCTTTAAAAAAAAAAAAAAAAAAGATGGAGATTTAAATCACAATATCATTCCCACATGATATTCAATCCAGCCTTCTAAACTGTAAGTGACATAAAAACTTATTTTAGAGGTTTAGATGAATGAATTTATGATGATTGTAACACTGTGTGGCTGCAAGGTGGATCGGTGGTTTGCTCCATTACCTCGCTGCTAGAAGGTCGCCGGTTTGCGTCCCGGTGAGGACACCTGGTATCTTTCTGTGTGGAGTTTGCATGTTCTCCCCGTGCAGCGTGGGTTCTCTCCGGGTTCTCCAGCTTCTTCCCACAAGGTCCAAAAACATGCTGAGGTTAATTGGTGATTCTAAATTGTCCGTAGGTGTGAATGTGAGTGTGCTTGGTTGTCTGTAAGTGTAGCCTTGTGATAGACTGGTGACCTGTCCAGGGTGTCCCCTGCCTTCACCCTAAGTCAGCTGGGATAGACTCCAGTGCCCCCACGACCCTTGTGAGGATTAAGTGGTGAATAGATGATGGATGGATGTAACAGTGCGCTTTGTGGGCTCGGCCGCAGTAATAAGTCTTTTCAAAGCCACGAGGCATCGATTAAAACACAAATTCAGTTTATTTTATCATTATCATCTTCACTTGACGTCACACATTCTTTTTAAAAATCAAATAAATATCACAAACAAGACCCACACATTTATTCCACACAAGCTGTTCCGTCGCAGAACAACTTGTTTCAATGGGTTTAGCTTCTTGCTCTGATTGTTCGTTCACATCCGTCCACGTTTCCTCCATGTTCACGTCCCTTCAGGTGTTAGTCCAGAGGAAAGCTTTGTTAGCCAGCACACCGGCCAGTTTATGGTTGAAGGGCTGATGAAATTTACTGAGGAGTTCTCTGGTGGCTGGAAGCATGGGACCAAGATTCCTGTCTGCCGCCCGCCGAGTGTTGGACATGGGCCGTTTGGTCAGCGCCGCCTCCACCTGCTCTGACAGAGGACCTGCAAGGAAGGTGGGACAAACAGATTCAGCCAACAGGATGCAGGCGTTTTTTTTTCTCCTAAACTTAAAAGATTTTACCGTGCAGAGAGAACGCCAGTCTACGTACCTACGCTCAGAAAATCAAAAACTTTTTTAATTGTCACTTTAAGGTTGGCTGCGTAGTCCTCCAGCCGAAGAACTAGAATCTGCTCCCTGTGGAAAACCGTCAGCCAGTCCAGCAGGAAGACGATGTACATGCCCAGGTTCAGCCTCACCTGTGGGAGAGAAAAAAATCAAAACAAGTCGACATGATAAATCTTTTGTGCTGAGATTGTGTCATCAGCTGCTGTTTCTGAGGTCGAGAGTGAGCTTTCAGTCCCAGTTGGTAATTAAACTAGAATGGAAAGTCTTTAAAGCGCTTGTGGTGAGATTGTTTTGTCGAAGACAACAGAAGACATGCAAGATCAAATAACATGAACCACACCTGGAAATTGACTATTGTGTCAGCAAATCGATTGAAAAGACAGAAACCTATGCATCATAGGCCTGATTTAACCGATGCCTCTCACTGCACAACAACAATCAGTGAGCCACATGACCGCACTGTGACATTTTACTTCTTTACAATGAACATGGGAACAATCTAGTTCATTTTGATCCCACATGTACCGTCCTGCTGCTATAGCAACCTGCAAATATTTGTTGAAAACCAGCCAGCGTGTTTAGGACATTATTTATCTTTATTATACTATGTGTGTAACTTTATCAATAGCGAGCCTTGTTTTTTTTAAACTATCCTTTATAATTTCCTACTTTAAAGTAACTTAATCACAACATGAAGTATGTATATATCTGTACACATGAAAGGTGTACATATCTTCATTATATATACATTTTTTAATTCTTTTTGTGCAATCTCTTGTATCTAGCAACTGTAATGTGCAAATTTCCCTGTGAGGGATCAATGAAGTTCATCTTGTACAACAATGGGTCATATGAGGTTAACTAGCAGTAACAGAGCTCTGCAATCAATACTTCAATGCATGAGCTTTCAAGGCATCATAAGACAACTAATTACCAGCTTCAAAGCGACTAAATTATTTGAACATCAATCAACAAGGACTATACCCTCAATGATGCTAGAACTTCACAATTGGTACAGAAACCAAAACTGTTCGTTAAAGACAGACAACTCAATAAAAATTTGAATATTACTGGCAAACTAATGAGAGTATGTTTTGTAATTTGTTGCCCCTGCAGGTCATGATGCAGCATTTTTGAACAAAAGTCACCTTTAACCTGTAGCGGAGCAGGTTTTTGCACCCCAAAATTGACCCCAAAATCGAATCAACTCTGAGGGGAAGCCATTCCTAGGTCTCCTATGTAATATCAGCTTGTTAGCACTCGAGCTAGAGACTGTTCACAGACACACAGATGGGACTGATTATGCAATCGTTGCCTCCTGGTCAGGGGCAACTACCAGAAATTGTTTTGGTAACAACTGGAAACTAACCAGTGAGCATATGATTCAGTGTAAATATGGTGAGCAAATACTTTAAATTGTTAAACAAATTGATGTAACCTATACCTGTATACTCATTTTAGTAATGATGATTTAGTGGCTTTCAAGTCTTCTACGTGTCCATGAATTCACTGTTTAGTTTATGGTAGAGTGAAGAGTCAGTTCACTATTTGGTTCCAGCTTCACAGACACTGTGAGTCCTCAAGAGGGCACCACAGCACAACGCCACCCACTGACACTGAGCCACTGTGGCCTGATTCACATGCAGAGGAGCACCAAGTTGAACAGACATCTCCATAACAGAGGCGTCGTGTAAACAAAGCATCTAAGGGTGTTTTTCTGAGCATTTCTGCTCCATTTGAGACGAACCCTGTTTCTCTTCCAGTGGTTTCAGGCCGAGCTGATTGCCGCTTTCACTGTAGTAAATCTCCCAAGATAACCGTGTTGTCCCAAGCATGCTGTGATTAGGAGTGACCAGCTGACAGAGCTCGTAACTCAGCTCACTCCTGAGGGAGCCCTGCCTGATAGGATATATGTTTGAAGGGTCTGAAGTGATTCTGAGCAGCAAAGTTGGTAATATTTTTTTCCCCTGCACAGCGTGAGAGTCACTTCAAAGCGGTAACATCCAGTTTAAATGTCTTTGAAGATAGGTAAAAATTCTCAGAGTGCAAGTTTTATATCATCAAATGTAGCCTAAAAGGTGTGATTTTTTGTTAAACAGGTGAAAGTGAGGGTTTGATTTCAGCTCACCGGCATGACGTTGGAGAGGCTGGTGTTGTAGACGCAGGAACGAAGTGACCTCCCAGACAGACACGACTGAAACAATTGCACGGACTCCACAACCTTCTGGTGGAAGTCCTCGGCTGACTTGTTGGCCATCTTAAAGTACAAGTAGTCTGAGTAAAGTCTGAAGACAGAAGGAGACACAGTTCTAAGCCAGCTGGAAGTGGAAAAAGACGTTTTGCTGGATGTGCGACAGGAATCCTTATTTAAAGCAAAGATGTAATCGAATGAAAGCCCTTTAGATGCAGTGAAAACTGTTAGAAACTGTTTAACCGCAGAATGTCACATCTGTGTCTATACGAGCAGATGTGAGGATGGATTTCTTTGTACCTTTCTACTGGATCTCTGAGCATGATGATGATTTTGGCATCAGGTTGGACAGCGTGGATGAAGTCCTGGGCCAGGAAGGGGGGTTCTGTTTCCTCCTCCCTGTCTCCATGGAGATAGCTCCAGGCCTGGTTGTCCCACATTGTGGATGCACTGGCTTCACCTGTAAAATGACAATCTTTGTGTAACCTCAGTATGACCTTGGGTTCATTTAGAATGCAGCTGGTGGTGCACACAGTCAGGCATAATGTGGCAAAGTGAAGCAGAGTTTTAGTTCCAAAATGTGCAAGACTGGGAGCATCATGCCTCATAAATATATGTTCAAGCAGCTTTGCAATAGAGATGTTTAAACTTTTCAGATTTTAGAAATGCATTATGTGATTTATTGCCAGCTTGAATGCATAATCCACACGCGTTCTTCTTTTCACTTCAGAAGATAGTTCAGCAAAATAAAGAAAAATGGCTGCACAATTTCCAAGACTTTGAAAAGTGTGACTTTCTACAGTGATTCTTTCTAAAAGTGGGACTGATTTCCCTGAAAAAAAAATCAATCCTCCTTCTTTAACACAATACTATTTCACTTCATGAATGTATTTTTTGATTACCATGCTGGCTTTGTGATTTCTTTCCCCTATTGTCTGTCAAAGTTGGCCAAAGTTTGCAACCGATCAAATCCTGAATCACAGCTTGAACAGAATGAAGAGTGAATAAAGATGGTTGTGACAGTGCCCAGAGGCGTCTGAGCTTCTGTGTACACTTCTAAAGACACTGGGCTGTCCGTTTTAGACCACAAAATATCTCGAATAATGTGAGCGGTATTTCCCCTGCAGCGCTTCACATGAGCGCCGTGGTGCCTCTGAGGTGAGAGCCACTTGTGGGGAAATCCAGCGAAAATGAACGACGGCCCGACAGCAAAGGAAAATGAGACAAAAGAGAAGCTGTAATTTGAATCGCGGTCAGGAGCCGATTGTTTGACTGTTCAAAGTCCCTCTGAAGGAGCAAAATGAAAACCATAAAGGCGGGAGGTTCCTCCATCTGGTGCGCAACGTACGTTAACAATAGCAAAACATTCCCCACCCACGCACGCAAACACTTTCACATGTGTTCACCTGTTATGAGCCGGAGTGTGCGGTGGTCTCCAGATGAATTTCCACTGATTCCTTCTTGGATGTTGTGGGCTGCCAAGTCAAACAGATCCAGGTAATCTTCCACAGGAAAACTTTCCTGGAAGCCATCTTTGAAACGGATATAACCTGCACCCGAGGTACACCACAATAACATTTATTATATACTAATTTATAGACTGCTTTGCCATAGAGTTCATTTAATGATTGTGTAAACTTTACCCATGGTACAGACAATTAAACATGTTTAAACCTCCAGTGGAAAATCATCAGTAGCTTTTAGTCATTTACATGCACATAAAAACTGACTTGCGCACAGTTCACACAGTAGGAGAGAGACTGACAATAAAATCACAAGCAGAAGGAAAAAGAATTATGGATCTAACAGTGAAGTTCAAATGGGAACTTGAAGCTCTTGCAGCTCTGTTGAGTCATGACTTCCAAAATATACGATCAAGACAAATCATTTTCTCCCGTTGTATATGTTAGAAGACGCATGTTGAAGTAAATTGGGAAGTGAGTCATCTGACTGCATTTTCAATCAGCTTCAGCTCAGAAGAAACGAGTTCATCCACTGGGAAAAACAATATGGTTTAGAAAATACCACTAGAGGCCAAAGTTTATATAAGCTCTGCTTATTTAGATTAAAGGTCCTGGTGAAGGAATATTTTGACATTTAAGGAAATATGGTTATTCATTTTTTAATTTTTTTTTATGATTAGCTTTATACCACAGTCATATTCATCAGGTGGAAACAGCTAGTCTGGCTGTCCAATATATACATATTAAAAACTCATCCATAGCCTATTTTCCAGTTCATTTTTGTTGAAACTGTCTGAGGTTACTTTGGTGATTCTTGTGCAGCTTATTGATAAAAGTCACCATTTAACATAACACAGTATATATATTTGTTTATCCCTCTAAACCCTAAAACCCACCAATAGGTTAAAAAGATAGGTTAGCTTTAAAAAAAAAACAAAAAAAAACACCAAAATTACAGAATGAAACATCACACTTTCAGCTTTCAGCATCATCTGTGATGCGCACTTCCATTTGAAAACTTAATCAAATTTTCATCAAAACCACTTTTTTTCTACGTGTTTCTTTTAAAGAAATATCACCAAAAATGAACCATATAAACAAATCAGATTCTGTAAAAGACAAAAAAATCTGCAGTTTCTGACACAACCATGAAGCCATTAGTAACTCACCTGTGACCAACAATCATGTGACAAAAATTCAGGGACTCTTTTAGCTGAACTGCAGGCTGTGTTCACACAGAGCTGATAGTAGATAAGTAAGGAGACTGTAGAACGGTAAACATATAGAAGACTATCTATAGTGTGTAAAGTCACCATTTGTGGGCACTTGGTAAATCTTGCACATGTTAAATCCAGGTTGTTGTTTTTTTTATTTGTAAAATAAACAGTCGAAGAAATTCAACTTTTGCTTACTATTTTTTATGATTTATGGCATTATAAGTTTGTTATTCTGTAAAAAAATATTTGGGGGTTCTTTCTACTTGGGCTGCAAGGTGGTTCCGTTGTTAGCACCGCTGCCTTGCAGCTAGAAGGTCACCAGTTTGGGTTCCGGTGAGGACACCCGGGATCTTTCTACGTGGGGTTTGCATGTTCTCCCCGTGCAGCGTGGGTTCTCCTGGGTTCTCCGGCTTCCTCCCAAAAACATGTTGAGGTTTATTGGTGATTCTGTCCGTCTCTAATTGTCTAATTGTCTGTCTCTAAGTGTAGCCCTGTGACAAATTGGTGACCTGTCCAGGGTGTCCCCTGCCTTCACCCTGAGTCAGCTGAGATAGGCTCCAGCCCCCCCATGACCCTAGTGAGGATTAAGCGGTGTATAGATAATGGATGGATGGTTCTCTCTACTTTTTGCTATGGTTGTGCTGTTTCCATAGAGGTTCAGGACTTTACATTGTGGGGAAAACATTGAGTGAAAATGGGACAAGGGTTAAAAAAAAAAAGCCCCAAAACTACTTGGAGTTCAGTGAATTAATCAGCACAAAAACCACAGAGTGCATACAAGAAGTTGTGGTTTTATGGGGGGTTACAGTGGATGTGGTTACTGGATCATTTCTTGGCCATGAGCGGTAACTTCCTGCAGTTTCTGTTGGTTGCCGAGCAACCTCACAGCGAACACAAAGCTTCCAGATGTGACTTTCTGCAGTCGAGAAACAGTCCAGTTCATTACCCTTGTAACCTAACTGTCTCCTGGTTGTAACTTTAAGTAGAATGGACAGCTGTAATCGTACCATCATCTGACTCTCTCCGTGAAAACCAGCTCGTCTCCTGTGCTCTTGATCCATCATCTGGTCCACTAAAGTTCTCAGAACCATTTCAAAATGCAAATCCATCTCCTGAAGACTTACCAAAGCGCTTCCTGGTCCACCAGTGCGGCTCCTTCATGGTGTTGAACTTGACCTCCGGATGCAGCAGCAGTCGGTGGAACAAGTCCGTTGTGCCGCACTTCGGTTGGCCGATGATGTAGAAGTACGGTAAGCAGCGCAGACGATAGTGTTTGCCAACTCTGTGGTGCAAGTGCTGGTGGAAGTTGGTCCTCAAGTGGTCGCACACGGTCTTGAAGCTTTTCGAGCGCAAAGTGAAGAGGTTCCTCCTGTACGGATCAGTGCTGAGTTCACCGGAGAACTCTTCAAACCAGCAGGGGCTCTTGATGCCGGGCAAGAAATGGCGAGGAATCACTGAGAACAACTGCAGAGAGGAGGAGGAGGAGAACTGTGTAATACTGGGCAGCTTTTTGGTAAATCATAATTTGGAGGACGATATTAGGTTCTATTTTCGTCACAGGTGCCATTTGTCATTTTTGTGAAGCTTGCAGCTTGTGGTGCTGTTACAGCAGAAGTCCTGCCACAGTGTTCTCTTTCAATATCTGTGGGCTTGAAAGGTGGCTGTTAGGGATGACAGCTTCTACCTTCTCAGAAATCAGCAGCTATTTTCACTTTCAATTTGTCATTTACACCTAGCGGGAGTGGCTAAACATTCTCATAGAAAGTGTCAAAACCTCCATAAATTAGGATCGCATAGCAGCTTTGCAACTGATGCTCCATCACCTATTTGACCTCCTTCATATAGCTGACACACACCACTAACTGACATTCAGCTTAATGACTCACTCGTGTTGTGATTGCGATTCCCCACAAATGCTGATGCTCTTCCCACAAATGCTGCGAAATTACACATTGCAATGTGGAAAAGTATGATGAGAACACATGCTAAACACGGGAGAACTGCATTAGCACAGTGGTCAGCAGGGACTTAGCAACACTTAGTGAGAGTGTTGCTGGCAGACACTGGTCATTATGAGCTTCACCTAACAAGCATTTACTGCAGGGTTGATTGTAAGCTGCTTGTTATCCGTCAGTCTCACCTTTGAAAACAAAAAAACAAAGAAATCACAGCGGCCACTAGTAAACATTTTGAAGTCTAGAGTGAATTATCATTTGCCAGTGTGTGTTTGTCATTGCTGAATGAAAACATCGTAGTATGTTTTGTCCTGGTAACACACAGCAAAACATGAATCAGATGATATCTCCGTGAACTTACATGTGCGTCTGTTTCAATGACGTCCTTCTCATCAGGAACCCTCCTGGGTGTATATTCCTGTTTGGAGCTGATGATCTTCACCAACATTTTCATGTCTATTAAATTCTTTTCAAAAGAAACTACAGCCGTGCTCGTCGGAAAGGCGGCGGGCCTGAGCTGATAGGGTGAAGGAGTGAACAGCAGCCCTTTCTTGTCCCACATCAGGATGTAAGAAGCCATGATGAGGAACGTCAGCGTCAAGCCCAGGAGGAAGCTCACCACTTTGACTTTCGAAAGGCGCCGCAGGTTGGTTAAAAACAACAGCGGGACGCACTTGACGTCCAGATTTTCAGGCACGTTCGTGTGCCTGAAGTCGAATAACGTCCTGACAGACTTTTTCCCATAGTTCTCGGCCATAGGCAGGCTGTGGAGGCTGTGATTGTGGTCCTTTTGGGTGTTGCTCCCATATTTGCAGTCTGATAGTGACATACTGGCATGGAAGCAGAGTAGGCATGTAGAATAAGAAGCCAGGTAGTTATTTTCTCCCAGCGAAAAAAAAAAAAAAAGTTCAAGTTTCACCGAGAAGCGCTTGCGTTATTAATCTGGAGTCCATCATTTGTCTTCATTTCGTCCACGCTCCTCAGTCTTCAGCGGGGCCTCCTGTAAAACAGAAACAGTTGTTAAAACACGACACATGGCTTTTCACTCAAAGGGGAGTTTCCTTTGAAGTATTTCAGTCATCCCCCCATAATACCGAGAAAAGTGGTATGAACATTTTTAATATTGCTGCATTCGATGGCGCCTTATTGCTTCTCTGGAGGTATCCCTGTGTGAATTTTCAAACTATAGTGCCCCTCTATACCAGCAGTCCCCTACACGTCTGAGGTCAGCTGCAGAGTGTGTGTGTGTGTGTGTGTGTGTGTGGCCCGCTGTATGATGAGCGCTCGCTTTATGGCGAAGGCTATGCAGCACATGCAAAAGGCGAGCTCGGCTAAGAGAGCTTCAAGGTCAGAATAATAGTTACTCTGTAATTCAAAACTAAAAACACATTATTTTTCTGTGTGAGCTAAAAGCCCACTGAGAGCTTTATTTTTTTAACCTGCAAATGTTATTTTTCAAGATCAAGGTTTTTCACAGAGAGGACCGCGTTAGGTATTGATACAGGTGGACATGCAGTGTGGCAAGTGCATGCATTATGTTTTCTTTTCTCACCACATGAATAATAAGAGAGTAGGCATTATTATTTCAGGGGCGGTGTGCTAATAAAGTCGTGACACCGAAGTGTGAAATGTTGTTAAAACACTTCTCTGACACTTCCTTCGCCAGTAACGTATTTCTTCTTTCTTGTGTTGCACAGTTTGTGTGATTTAACAATCCCACTGGAGCGGGGAATGAAATCCTGCACCACTTCGAGCTAACAACATTTTTTTTTTCTTACTGCACAACAGGGTCTGTTAAAATGCAGCCACAGTAACATTATGTGACTCAACCTGTTCACGCTCAGGTCATTAAAGACCCTCTAATGCGGCATAATGAAAGGTGTCTCCACCTCAGTGCTTAATTTCATTTCATGCAACTAATTAAAGCAATAAAACAATTCCAGCAGAGATAGATTATCACTGTAAGTCAATGAGAATCTCCAACCAGCTCACAACCATTTGCTGTTTGCACAGATAGTGCAGCCACACACCAAACGTTGCTGGCATGTTGCCATCATAACCGTAGGGCAAGCCTCTCCTTTAGCCTACCGTGTCTGTTGCTGACACCAAACCAGATCCATGCCTGAAGACGTTTTCGGAGGGTTATTGGCTGTGCTGAGCGAGAGAGAAACTTCAGATGTTCTCCGACGATGCAATTTAATTTATTAATGCTCTGTTTAAACGCACATTGAAGCTGTTTTTTAGGGGCGCCGTACCAATTGTGCACACCCTGTTCAGTGTCTTGGGGACTGTAAAAAAAAAAAAACAGTTAAGTCATGTCTTGTCAAAGGAGCTTTCCAAAATCTAAAAAAAAAAAACCCTGATGATGTAATAGTGAGGTCCTCTGGATTATCTCAGCTTGGGTCTAAAGATTTGGGGGGAAAAAAGAGACAGAGAGAGAGAAGGCCTACATTACAGACTGAGGGTAAGGAGTTTAAAATACGTCTGACAACATCAAGTTACATCATGAGAAATGTAGGAGCTCATATTAAGGTATGCATATTTGTGCTGCTTTGATACTGAGTGTTGTTTTTTAGCCCACAACTTTCACACATCTTAAAAAAAAATCACCCTTAATTTAAATTAATTTGAATACTTTACTAAAACACTCTGCTCAAGTCTGACATCTACACATGGAAATCTGTTCTGGCCGTCTCCTTTTTTCTGATACTTACAACCCTCCGCTCATCCGTCTTTTAATGTGTAACAATGCTACAAGTTGTGGGTTTGCAAATGCAAAGTCTGCCTTAGCACACATTGGATGAATATGTCCACAAAGGGCTTCAGAAGTCCTCAGAGAAGCCCCCCACACACTTGCAGATTTCATAATGGGACAGCTCTGAGCCCTTGCAGACTTATCAGGAATGCATGCCGATATCTGCACTCCTGCGTGGGTAGCTGCTGGGATTGGAAAAAGAACTTTTCTTTTTAATCTTACTGGAGGTGTTATGGGCCTCATTTAATGAAACATCAGATAAAGGTGAGCTCTTTAAAATGCCAGTGACTCACTAAATGCAACTGTAACATTAAAAGCAGGTAATAGTTTAAGTTACTATTGATTTCCTTTCTGAATTTTTTATTTGAAAGTCGTTTTGTGCTTTTTAATGACGACCTGTCGAGTTGTGTTTTTGAAAAGTATCATATTAACGACTTCTGCCCTTTCCTACTCTCATTTTCTTTGTGCCTCTGCATATTTTTATTTCCACAAACTCAGGTAATTGTTATCTCCTCTGTTCTCTGCTCCTATTAATCTATTATTCCCATTAAACATCAGTGTCTGGCTCGAGCAAAGTTTCAAAGTGTGAGGGAAGAGAGAGATTTGGAAATGTGACAGAGCATAAAGAGGACAGTAAGAGTCAAGGGTAAATCACAGAGTGGAGAGGCGAAGCAGCGGAGATGAGAATAACAGTGTGAGAACTAGCAGGAAAAAGCGCCTTTAGACCTCTTTGGTTTAAAAATCGATCTGAAGCAGAGAGCAAACAGCAGGCGGGATTGACTGAGGTGAAACTCCACCATCTGAATCCCGGCGACTCAAAATAAAAACCTGCATTCATCACGGCACTCGATGCTTTTGTAGTACTAAGTGTCAAGCTAAACTAAATGTCAAGACGCATCTGATATCAAAGCCGGAGTGGGATATCACTCATCTTGTTTGTAGCACAAGTGTTAGATTGTTTACACAGCGAATTTATCAGATTATCTAAATCCTGCAGACCCCGGGCTGCTTTTTTTTGTAAGTTTGTGCACAACAAATACCAGTTTATCAAATCCACAGCAAGAATAGGAGCTTGGTGAGAACTATACCTAAGCACACCAGTGATTTGAGATAAAAGCATGTGCATACGAACGTGCTCAAAATGACAATGCTGAGCAAGTATGTTTACCATGCTTACATATTAGTTTAACAGGTTAGCAATCAAACATTCTCTGATTTGCACAACTGCACAGATACGGCTGCAGGTATTTGATCATAATTTGATCATTTTGGAGATGATAGCATTAAATGAAAAAGCAAAAAAAAAGTCACCTAAGTGATTCAGTTCCATTTACATGGCATGTACAAAAATGTTTGGCAACCCATAGTAGTAGGAAAACCAACAGATCAACAATGCCATTCGTAAAGCTGTGCCACCAAAACTATGAAAAACTCATACAAATATCTTCACAGCCATGTACATCTCCTTTTCCTCTCCATTTAAGTGATCTTCTACGAGTACTGGAGCAGAGGAATGGTGAAGTCAGTCGGACAGTTGCTGAGTCCATCCCAACATTTGGACCAAATCAACATATTACAAAACCTGCTGGCTACAGTTCTTGCTGGATATTTATGGACACTAGAGAATAAATAACTTTTTTTTTTTTTATGCAGAGTTTCTGACCTTTCCATTAGTGCCACTATCAGGCCAAGATTTCCTGATTTTTGAAAAAACAAATTAAATTGGCAGCCTGCCATGGAATTTACAGAACACAACTAAACTCTCACAGGAAGAGCTTTATTCCCATTTTGGACACTGAGCATTGCTTTCACTCCACCCTCATGTCAAATTCTAAGGTTTGCACGAGATGTTTCATGAACTGACGAGCAGATTGCCATGAAATTTGTTGGATTTGTTCAGGCTGAGCAGGTAAAACCATTTGTTTTAATTGTCCCGTTTTCTTTTTTGCTCTATTGCCACCCATTCGGTCAAGAATGTCACCGAGATTAATTAAAACCAAGAAGTCTTTTGCATGCAGCTGACAAATTTGAAAATCTCAGGTCTCTTCCGTTGCCATACAATCAGATTATACTGTTGAACCAGAACTGATTTTTTTTGTGTGTGCAACAAAACAGATACATTCCATTTGAAAATTACACATCATTCTGTGTTTTAAAAACCCAGTCACTCCTGTCATCCTGTACCAACTTAACCGCACTTCTTTGTCTCTATTGTTACCGATGTTCAGCCTTTTCATTCAGATGTTGTCAAGTCTACTGTGTGAAGTGCAAGCTTGAGTCATAGGTTTGATAATACAAAAACATTATCTGAATAAATTGTGCATTTTGAATAACAGTGAGTAAGTTATGAGCACAATTTTGATCTGATGATGGCACCAAATGAAAGCTTAGGTTGCCAAAAGTGTTGCAAGACAATGAACATGTGAAACTTAATTTCACGGTAAGTTATGCAAAAGTTATTTAAATAAAAAGTAGAAACACGGGGTGAGATTACAAGAAAACTAGTCGATGTAGAGCTAGTTCACTGAATAGTAAAATTAGCTTCTCTGGATATGACGCCTCTTTACGCCCCTCTGTGTAGAGACTGAAAGTCACAAAGGCTATTGTGAAATAACTATTGTTTTACTGATAGTAATTACAGCATGTTCAATAGTAATGAAGGTTCAGCTCATCAGCGGCTTGTGGCTGTAAAATGGACAAATGATGATGCTCATTATTTTTAACCAGCCCCAGCTGTTCAGATTCCACAGCTGTGTGTCAAATTCAGAACTCAACCTATTGCAACAATGATAAATATGAACAATTTCTCCTGTAAACTGCAGGCCCATGCCAGATTCCTCTTCTTACTCAGTCTTTCATATAGAAGAAAAGCTGACAGCTTATCAAATCTTAATTTCATTTACGGATATCAAATGAGCTGTTATGCATCTGCTTGAAATTTGCCCGGGGTGTTAAACGGGGTGCAGGTTATGCCGTTACATGCGGGCGTGTAAAACCCTGCAGACATACATATTTACAATATTTTATTCACTTACACACACCAAGCTCAGTAGACACTGCCTCCCTGGCTTGCACCATCTCATTTCCCTCCTCCATCTGCCCTTCGTGATAAACTGAAGCCAATCAGACACAACTCATCGTGTTCTGCAAAGACTCCAACACAACAGAGGTCTTCCAGAGGCAGAAACGCTGCATGCTGTAAGCAGATGTACAGCTTTGTTTAGCATCAACATTATCAGTATACG